GTCCACAAACATCTCAAATGCCTTTGTTGTTCCTTGTTGCACCCCTAGCCGAAGATCGGTTCGCATGGTTGGCATACGAAAGGTCTGGTACGAAGCGTCCTCCGTGCAATCCAGCTGTCCAGCTGTTGGAGCAGAGCCCGCTCATCTTTGGGGCAAAGCGTGCCAGTCAGGCCCACACACTTGACAGATGGGTCTTGGCGAAGATGGTCCAGCCGGCTTGGGCAGCGAACAAGACTCCCTCGATAGCTGGTGTCCACGAGCATTGTGTGAACCTCGTCCATCACCAGCATGGCCAGACGCTTCTGCTGCACGAGAGTTTGCACCCACCTCATCCCATAGCCAACCAAAAAGTCGACCGTCATGACAATCACTTGAACGTTGACTTGCATGTCACGGCCATCATTCTTAGCCCACTGCGATACAATGTCAGCCTGCTCGAAGCGGCGGCACCAGTCTCTGGCAAGCTCACGAAGCGGGACTATCCACACCACGACCTTGCGTGGCTGGAGGTGAGCGAGTGTACACCGCGTCTTGCCCATGCCAGTCGGGGCCACGGCCAACAGCCAGCCGTCCTGGGCCTCGTGCCGAGTCACAGCCTGTGCCAATCGATACTGATCCCAGTCGCGAATGTTGTCTTCCACGCTTGCCGCACACATTGAGCCAGCCAAAGCTGATCCTCATACTCTTCTTGCTGCGTTTGGTCATTGTGCTGACTTGGCTCTTGCTGCAAGGCCGTCGACGCAGCCTCTTCCACGGCTCGCGGCACGGCAACTGGCATGGACGATTCGGCTGCCTCGACTTCGTCTAAATCCAACCCGGCAATGATATCGTCAATGTCGTCCTCAGCATCAAGGCAGGCTTCAACCTCGAGATCTGTTTGCGTGCCCACGGTCGCTTGCACCTGTGTGCTGGCGTTCCTGACCCGAGACGACTGGATGACCACCTGTTTATGAACCACTTGTTGCACGCAGGTCTGTCCATCCACGGCCTCGGCTTGGATCTGATCCTCTACATCTACCAGCTTCATGAGCTTGTGCCATTCTTCAGACACAAACTGATGGCCGTACTGCGCTTCACTGGACACAAACTTGTGATCGAGCTGCGTGCGGCCATAGACGTCCGTGCCGTCCTGCCTGCATGCTGGCTTTGAGAGTGTGCCACATTCAACGCCCCCAATGAAGGCTCGGGCGTATGATGCAACACCAGTGTACGCAGCCAAGCCACACTCATGTGCCGCCATGCGCTGACAGTGATGCTGGTTCCAAGAAACCGCTTGGTCACGGCCTGGATGGTTCGGTAGACTTGGCCTGGCCGAAGCTGTTTTTCGAGCTGCATTGGCGCAATGTTGAACATCAGCTCATACGTGCCCTCCTGTGCGACACGCTTGGCCGCTCGTAGATCGTCGTGCTGGTCGTCAACAGAGCCAACAGTGTCTGGCTCGATTGAATCTTCGACCTTCATCGCGTCGGCCTCGAGCTCATCTTGCTCTTCTTCCGTCAGGGAATTGGGATCTATTGCCGAAGACGTGATCAATTCGTCTCGATCTTGCAAGTCATCAGCAAACAGCTCCTCCAGCGGCTTGCACAATAGCAGGTACGCCATCATGACCGCACTGGCCCGCTTGTCCATGTAGTGTGCAGCATGCGACTCGCGGTTGCTGATCCATGTGGTTTTGCCTCGTCGCGCGACAAACGCCAAGCGGTTTCCGGAGAAGAAGACATTTCTGGGGCTGGCGGAGGAGTCGCGATAGAAAAGGCTCGTGTATACCATCGCACGCACGGGGAGACCTATGCACAGATGTATGGTGAAATCTGCGTTGTGTACAGTAATATGTTCGTACGCCCAGACTACCAGACGTACCAGTTGAGAGGTGTGCATATGTCAATGCCAGGCGATTAAACTCTTGCAGGGAGCAGATTCAGCGCAATTTTGATGCTATGCTAAACTTGCCGGGTGCATCAGGCATGGTAAACTCCTCGACTAGCTCTGGAGTTTCCAAGATGTGCTCCAGCAGCATTGTATAAAAGTCATGACCGTCGATGTCCTTCAAATCCCGGCCGACCCAGGACTGAGGGGGCCCGGGCCGATTCGAGTCCAGCAACAAGAGCAGGACAGCATAAACTCGCTTCTCGAGCCCCGAATTAAAGAGCAGCTCCTTGGTGAGAATTTCCGTCCATTCTGGCTCGCATGGCTCGCAGACCAGTCCCAAGGTCATCCACGTTATTGGGGTGCAAGCATCGACGACCTGCCAGAACCCTCTGAAAGGATTGCATCAATGTACTCGACGATGTGCACCTGCTGCTGCCCGTCGAGGAACTCTCTGGTACACTCTGGGTGTGTTTAGCCACCGGATTATAAGTACGGTCCCGCTGACCGTGAGTGGCATTTTCTTTTGGATACTTCCCTTCCTGTTTTCTATCGTTCTCTCCTGTGAGAGAAGTGCAATTGAACCGCTGAACTGTCTCAGCTCAAATAGTCTTTCAATACTGCACGCAGCATATTGGAGTGCAAGCATCGACCACCTGCCAGATCCCTCTGGAAGGATTGCATAAGTGTACTCGACGATGTGCAGCTGCCGCCGCCCGTCGAGGAACCCTCTCGTACACTCTGGGTGTGTTTAGCCACCAGATTATAAGTACGGTCCCGCTGACCGTGAGTGGCATTTTCTTTTGGATATTTCCCTTCCTGTTTTCTATCGTTCTCTCCTGTGAGAGAAGTGCAATTGAACCGCTTTACTGTCTCAGCTCAAATCGTCTTTCAATAGGTTATGGGCCTCGACTGCGTGGACACTGCGTCAAGGAGCTGAAGACTTGGGTGCTTCCCATTTGAGTGCGAGTTCCCCAAAGGAAAAACCGGTGTCGAGGAGTACATCGAGAACATGGCGCTCGAGGAGTTGCCGGAGATCGTGAAGAGCATCCGCCGACAGTCGGAGCGCTGGCCTCAGTATGATGGCCATGACACGATGAAGTTGATCGAGCTGCGCGAGGTCATTAACGCCGTTTGTGACAGCTACGATGTCCCGTACCTGCCAGAGCTCAAGAGCCTGGAGGAGGAGGATTTGCAAGCCGCTGCCATTGAGGAGAAGCACGGGCCAGGCCCGAAGGACAACGTCAAGAAGCTCAAGGAAATCAGTAGTGTGATTATTGTCGCACTTTCGACGTGTCTCACCGGAACAGCTCGCTTAGTCTTGAGTGGCCTTAGGAAGGAAATCAAGAGCGGCCATGGTCGTGAA